GCGGAAAATATGCACATTCTCAATGTATTTGATATAGTGCCGTTGACCAAAGATTGCATAATGGAGAAAACTTGTCAGTTGGGAGAAAGTACTGGTCGCTTCACGGCAAGAGAGCACAGTAGTAAACTACTTTGAGATGGATACGCTAGGCTTTGCTGTCGCTAGAAAATCTCCGTGGTACAGTTCAAACAGGCATCAATTTTTGAACTATAAACTTCCATGAATTTTCAGCAGAACGCACAAGAAAATATGTTTTTTGGAAAACTGATCTCATTTGTTTGATGTGACCGTTGTATATGTAGAAATAATCGTGCATGTTGGGTACATATCATATGTAACATCAGTTTATATAAACTCGCCGTGTGATGTGATAAAGATAATTTGGTAAAGATTCTCTCATAAACGATTAAAAGTTGCACAGCGTGGTTCAAATTAAGGTGGGACATTGCTGTTTGCTTTTCACCACTTTCTTGAGTTAGATATATGTCGAGACTTACATGACAAATCATGCAAACCCTGCAGTAAGCATCTTTCGGCGCGAGGTTTGCTGCAGTTTCTGTAACTGCGCGATTGTACGCCGGAGTTAAAGTACATGTTTCTGACACCTCAATTCATCTTGAGCTATGTGCTGCAGCCTAGCATATAATAAACTGTGCAACTTTTCAAAGAGAGCGTGTGTGTACGATCTCCTGGACTATCATATACCGTTTATACACAATTGCATAGTTTATTTGGTTGTTGGACAAGTTCGTGCCGTTTTTCTTCTCAAAGTCGAAAATGTTAGAACTAAATTTGGCAATATGTTCTGACTCAGAAGTAAAAACCATTTTTGTAACATATGCTTGTCTTGTTCTAAATTTGGCTTTGTTAAACAGAAGTGAATGAATATGCATTTTCCGAGGACCATACGAAGATCGACAGCTTGTTTTTTTTTGGACTGTGAGGGAGTCAGAATTTACAGTAACACTACCTAGTCAGGTACTTGGTTATTACGACAAGAGAAGCCATATCCCACAGTACTGCCTTAGCGTAAGATTACAGTATGATTTGATTGCCTTGACTTGGACCATCTAATATGGTTGCTTTGACTTGGTCATTATACGACACACGTGCAACCTCATGCTTCGGTATCAAATTTTATCTGAAAAAATTATTAATTGAGCATATTACGAGTAAACATTGCTTAGAAGAGATATAAGGAAGAGAGTTATGTCAACTATAATGTTTGGATGTGCGAAGATAAATGGAGGATAATAAGCGTAAGTGACAAAGAATTGTTTTGTCTCCAACACTGATAGAAGGTGTCAAGATATGGATTATCACAAATTCAGTAACTCCGCGCCGCGGAATGATTGTTTCTCATGTATGCATGTCGCTAGCGCTCTTTCTTGTCGCAAGATTTTTGTTCCGTTTTCTTTGCGTAGCATTGCTTCTTGGTCAGTATAAACATTGTGAACAAGGAAAGAAGGATTGTTTTTGATGACTGTGACAATCATTCGTAGAAGTGTCGTCAGAATAAATTCATATATCCGTTGAGCGCTAAGGTGTAAGTTAGCAATGCTTCTGCTAAACAAACGGCTCTTCGTGGGTGGCGTTTTGTAATCTCACTCGCGCCTTCCTCGAAGTTGATGGTTGTATAGCAATCACCCACGTCTATTGATGCCAACCCAGAATTCCTCTGCTGTTGGCAGATGAAATGTGTTGATAACCAAAAATTTCGAGCAGAGTTTACGCCGTTGGGTTATCATTATTGAAAACTCGACTACCGGGTGTAGATACACAATTACATTGCGAGCTGGAAATCGGTTTCAGTAATCTAGTTTCCCTTATCAAAATCTAACTCTTAATTGTTCAGGAGATGTTAGAACAGATCTATCGAATAATAATGTTTCCTGGAATCAGTGATTTGGAGTATATAATTATGATTAAACTGAATATTACGAATATTTTTGGCAACAAATCTTCAGCGGAGAGGGCAGATGAGAATCTTGATCGGACCATCTGCACATCGAAGAATATTGGTCCAAACTGTTCAAATGAATGTGTCATAAACGAGAAGTTAGAACATGTCTTACAAATTATTGGCCCTGTCCATTCGAGGCAATTCTTACAACATCTGCTAG